TGGGGGGAGTACAGCTGTATTTTAATGCACTCTAATAAAATGCTGGTTGTTGTAACCTAACATTGAGTTTGGGTTTGATAAGGGCAACCCAAACTGTTGAGGTAAAACATGTGGTTTAAATTTAAAATCTGTGTGAAATCAAAATGTTTACCTTTATTCTTTAGGTGAAAAGTTAATCAGCGCAAGTTAATCCACTGAAAAATAGCCCCATTGTTTTGGTAATTTTCAATCAAAAACTGACCATTTGCTATCTGCAATTCATGTTTCAATCCAAAACTGCAAATTAAATGTATGTGCAAAACTGGATTATTGCGTAAAAGACTTGCAAATAAAGCAGCGTTTCCATTCAACAAGTGAAAGAGAACAAAATCGTCACTTTATGATTAACTGGCGCCAAATATCAACTGTAAAAACAACTGCGTCAATCTTTTTCTTATTTAATACTTGACTTCAGCCTCAGAAGATAATGCTGCCACACAATGAATGCATGAAGGCGTGAGACACAGAGCACAGATCCCCTTAACAAGCCATTAATAATATAATAACACTAATACTGAAACAGTTCAGGCATTTTAGAATGACCAAAACAACATTTCAGATGTTTTAAAATGTGCTCAGCCTGCTGGTTTGTCCATTCACATGCATTTTTATTATAACATGATCTCCTAAACAAAATTACATGACCTTTTTAATGCGCCGACTGAAATTTGTTCGGTAAAAGTGTTTCCATCGTAGTTTATGCATATCTTTTCTTAGCAAATAAAACGTTTTTCCTACTCAGTTTTGCATAAGCATTTTTTATTTATCAAAATGTAGGCTCATCTTGCCATTTTTATCAACTGATTTTTCAAAATGCACAAAAAAAAAATTGTGGATTGAAACATGGCTAGTCCTTTCTGTTGACGTCAGTTTGATAATTTTAGCCACAATATTCATAATCATGCCCCTTTTAACATTATTTTGCCATGAGGGAATGTCGTGAAAAAAAAGGCCAGGCTATACATTTTTAATTGGAAGTATATCTACAAACTGAGATCAGAGCCATGGTGAGAGAGAACTGCGAGAAGAACGGAAGTCCAAAATGTTCAATTGTCAAGTTATTGGTGTACTAAAATAGTTCCAGGAAATGCTTCACAGTCTATTCAAATCAGAGATACATACACTAGATAGCGCATATGGACCCTGAGCATGCATCAATAGTGCTGCCACATTTGTACAATGCTCCCAGGACAAAGTTATTCAACCACACTAGTCAAGACTAAAGCCGAGTAACAAGCAAACAAAGCACAAAGGCAGAACATTTCATAGGTAAGATTTCGTTTGTTTATGTTTTTATATGTTACAAACTTTTGTGCTTAACAATTATTAATGTTAATATAGTCACCTACTGAACTGACCATAAGGCAAAGTAGCACCAACTCGCATTAAATTCTAGGCTTATGCTAGTATGGTTGAATAAAATCAGCAAACAATGTAAATTAAATCAGACAACAAGACGCTACGATGCCAGAAACTTGTATTATTGTTGCCAAATCATAACCGAGATTCACTCACAAGCGAACCGCTCCCTCCATTAGAACTAGAAATGAAAGCAGGAGAGTGGATGTGTTTCAGGACACAGATAAGATCGAATTTAACAAGGAAGGAGAATAAACATTTCCATACACAAAAAAAACATGCCCTTTGTTGACAATGTCCGTGCGCTCACCTATCCATCAATGTAGAAAAGTGATGTATAATTATCATTTTCATAATTGAAAAAATATTTGCATACTGAACACTGAAAACTTCTGATCATAGCTATATGTATATATGTGTATACATCTCTGGATTTGGATGGCCAGTCCTCCACTGCACCTTGGTCCAGAAGCTCCATTGAATACACTGGGGTAAAATAAATGCTCATATTATAAAGACATAGCGGGGGGAAATGTCATTTAATGCAGTGCTTCTTGTACAATCTAAGACCCACTTTATATCGGATATCACTCAGCCAGTGGAGATTTTGTATTGGCATACAATTCACTGGAAACGATTAACCCAGGTTACTGGCAAATTAAAAGTCCTATTAGCATGCTTCAACATATACCCTAGAGCGTATAGGCGACATCTAATGTAACTATCTATGAATTCAGATGTTAGACAACGTTAAAACGTAGAGTCTTATTTTCAAAAACTTTGTACGTTTCAAATGTGCAAAACCAGCCGTCTTCAGCTGTAAATCTGCTGTAAATGAGATCACTGGTCCAAGCCTCAGCTGGGCCAGTTGGCATTTCAGTGTGAGTTTGCATGTTCTCCCCGTGTTGGCGTGGGTTTCCTCTGGGTGCTCTGGTTTCCCCTACAGTCCAAAGACATGAGCTATATGAATTGGGTAAGCTAAATTGGCCTGAATGTATGAGTGTGTGTGTGAATGTGAGAGTGTATGGGTATTTCCCAGTACTGGGTTGCGGCTGAAAGGGCAACAGCTGCATAAAAAAATATATCCTGGAATAGTTGGTGGTTTATTCCGCTGTGGTAACCCCTGATAATTAAGGGACTAAGCTGAAAGAAAATGGATGAATGAATGAAAACATTCTACCGAAGTCAATGGAGTTTTCGCAACTCTATCTCTATGGCTCTGACTGAGATAAAAGTCTCAGCAACTTCAAAGTTCATCTAGACTTTGAAAGGAAAAAAAACAACAACCTTGGGTTTATCCATATTTGACCCAATATTGACTTGGCAACCCAGAATTTGTGTTAGAGTGTGGTGCTCTGCTCTCTACCAACCAGTCATTTAGGGTGTTCTCAATTGTAGTTAGGTTGTCATGGTTTGTGTGTGCCCTATTAAAAAAGAAAAATAATACTTTTGTTGTTTATGAAGTGTTCACACGGTCATTTTTAAGATCAAATCTAATGATACATAACAAAAAACAACAGCTTTCATGAGACATTTTTTGATGGAATTAAAAACCTTTTCAGAGACATCGGTCTGAATGTGTGCTCTGCTCAAAAAATGTGATCACAGCATTCAAGTGAATCACTCTAAACAAACCAAATCTGCCAAGTGTGAACACACCCTTAAAGGACTAAAACAGTGAACGATTGTCCTCAAATACAGTTTCTGAAGGAGTTTGTCCCCTTAAAAAATATTTTTGGATTTTAATCCATATAAAGAGCAAAAAAAAGCTTTCAAACCCACTTAAATTAGAATGTTTTCTTTAAAATCTGCCCTCCAATATCATCAAGTGAACACAGTAAAGCCGCAGTGACGCACATTAGGACGGTTGCTTAATGTAATGAAAGTTGACTTTAACTGGATAGAAATACTGTAAATGTCAAGAAGAGGTTTTCACATTTTATAAGGGCAGTTGTCAGTCTGCTATACCTAACTTTTTTTTTTTTAATTTTCAAGAAAATTTTGTTATTAAAATTTTTACTGTTTAACTTCTACACAAAAATATTGCTTTATGGCTGTATTCTTGTGAATGTGCATTCGGTGAAGTGTATAATGCTGGAAATAACTTACGTCAACCTTTTTTCTTATTACAAGTTCCATATCTCTTTTCATGCATCACAGTAATGACCAATCTACAGGTTATTTAGTGCAATAACATAACCTTAAGTTTGCAATCTCTGAGTTTTTCAGTTTATTAGCAAGAGTTCCTGTGGTGGTGACAGTAACACTGTTATTTATGCGACACTGCTAATAGCCATAACTTATTTTTCACTTCCGTATTACATCTTTCAGTTTTGATTTATGTTTTGAAAAATAAATGCATATTTCCATGCATATTGCAAATGCACATATATATATTTTTTAATTTTAGAAAATGTTAACATTTTGCATTGTCTGGTTGCTTTTGTCCCTACTGACTGGGTCAAAAGTAACAACACGCCTGTAGTTCATTTGTTCTATTTTAGACTGCAATAACAAAATGAATTGTGAAAATAACCCATCGATAAAGGTTTTGAGACCAAGCAAAATCCTATGTTAGATGTCGGTGCAGAATTTGAGACACCGAATTTGGCAATTTTGGTACCAAAATTGACATACCAAATTCCAACCGAGGAAAGTTGAATGTGCTGACCAGTTTGTTGTTTGCCCAATAAATGATAATAGGCTACACTTTTTTTTAATTCAAAAACTTTAACAGATTCTTTTTTTGCCTAATAAAATATGATGTAATTAATTTTTATTTTTTAAATAAGTATTGTTTTTCTGTATATACTGTTGTATTATTCTTTATTCTAAACCTTTTTTGAAATGCTTAAAATGCAGTATTCTAACCTCATAAATAACTAAAAAATTAGGCAAATACTTGCAAGAAAATAAAAGAACCATGGCTTTCGCAAGGCTGGCTATGGACATGAACAATGTACAATTTGTTTAAAGTGAAATTATTTTGAAGTTGTTGTAGCCTATATGTTCAAAATAGCACCTGATATATTGATAGACCACACTTATGAGTTAGTAACCGCAGCAAAGATATATTTCTGTCTAAAACATTGTTTTAAAATAGGTTTTCATGAAAATTTGTATTTTCGTCCCCACTCTCAGTCAATAGTAGGCTATTTTCCCTGCTATAAAAGTCAATGGTTCCCCAGTTCCTGCAACTCTTCTAAATATATTTGTGTTTGTGTGTTCAACATATAAAAAATAAAGAATTTGTACCATTAAAGGGTGAGTAAAAAGTAAGTAGACTATTATTTTGGAGTGTGAACTAAACGAACGATCCTATTCGTTTTCTGGTAAGCATAGTCAACGAAGACTAGTTTGCTTTTTTACAGGTAAGCTAGCTATTTTACTGTCGAGGGACTAAAAAATGACTTCAGCTCACTTGACTTCAATTTAAAAGACTTAAATTTACCCGTCGCTCGCATCTCGACGCCACAAAAGTACAATATTCAACAAAACCACCTGAAATCACGAACTTGCGGTTTAGCTGGATATGAAACTCGCGTTTGTTGTAGTTTGACGCGTCGCGTAATACCATCCCTCTTCCAGTGTGTATGTGTGAATCCAGTCAGTCACTCCTCATACAAACAGCCCACAGAGCTCAAACCAACCCGCCCGTGTTTAACGCGTGGACGACCGCTGGACAGACAGGCGGTGCTGCTTCTTAACACAGGATCTACCATAAGCTTTATTGATTCAATAGCCCGTTTTTCAATTCTGCATTGCTTATAAACATGCGTGTTATTGAAGGAACAAGAAGTGTCGGCGCTTGAGAGACAGTCACTGAATGACAGCATGGCTAAACGAAGCACTCTATTCATCAGGATTGTGGAAGGAAAGAACCTGCCAATCAAGGATATGTAAGTGTTGATGACTTTATGGGATTATTTGAAGTTAAATTATTTAGAAATATGTGGGAATGCATTGGTTGGGCGGTATAGAAACTGAACGCAGCAGTATGGGATTTATAATCCAGATGTAGAACATCTCATTCAAATAAAGCCATACATAATAAAATGATAATCCATGTTGTGGGCAAAATAAACAAAGAACCAATAGGAACCCTTTTGTAATTTTAAATTGTTAAAATGGGAATTGTATTATTTATTTATATATATATATATATATATATATATATATATATATATATATATATATATATATATATATATATATATATATATATATATATATATCCCTTACTCTGTAGATGCTAAAAACTCATCGTTCTAAGACTTTTATATTTTAATAATATTTATTATTTTAATAATATTTACTCTTATATTTTAGAACTTTTTTTTTCAATGCATACTTGTATTTTATTGCATGTTTGATTTCTCTTTTCTTGTAGCGCTTTGGGTCTTAGAAAAGCGCATTATAAATAAAATGTATTATTGTTGTTATTATTATTATAGGCTAGTATTTTTCTGCCTTGCTGGCATATTAGAATAATTAAATAAGCAATTCCAGTGTTATGGATGTGACAATTTGGAGTAAAAACTCAAAACATAAACACAAAGCAAGTATAAATTGAAACATCTGTTTATATTTTTCAAAACTGCTAACCACAGAGTTATAGGACCAGAAAAATATCAGTCTGTAAACATTTTTCATATTTTACATGAGGAAAAAGAACATGCGCTATGGATGTGACCATAAAAGTCTGCAAGTTTACAGTCTACGACATACTTTGTAGAAATTCTGTGAATTAAACTGCACAACCCCAAAGAAACCACGCTAATCAAATGTATAAGAGTTGCTCACTATAGAACAAAAATGATGGGTTTATTTTATTTAACATTTTTGTAATTATGAGGCTTTCTTATGGAGTTTTGACGTCTTTCTGTTATGGATGTGATGGATGTGAAATTGCCACTTGTGTGACTTAAATCAAATATAATTGTTTAAGGACACTGACAGACATTTTTAAGTATTTTTACAGTCCTGTAAAATACAGACTTAAACAAAAACGTAGAGAGGGTTTTGCTATTTTGGTAAAAATGTACCTATTATTTTTCATGACAATCTTGACATTTGCATGGAATTGCTCGAATCTTAATTGAGTATATGTAAAAAAAACACACTACAAACTATTCAAATGACCTGTTAATGGATAAAAGTTGATGGTTTAAAATGTTTTAATGGTACAGTATATGGTGATAACCCTCGCACTTATGTGGTGGTTTCTATTTTGTTTTATTTTTTACAGATTGTTTTACATGACATTTGAAACTCTATTGATAGAATGATACATCTAATATTATTTAATCATTAAAAAATACAAATCAAGTGAAATTTTAAAAATAAAAATTCTGTGTGCTGTGAAGGAGCATTTACACCGGGGGTTCGCAGTCTCGGTCCTGGAGGTCTGATGTCCTGCTGCTTTTAGCTCTAACCACAATCAGACACACCTATGCTAGTTAATCAAGCTCTTACTAGGCTTTCTGGAAACATCTGTGCAGGTGTGTTAAAGCAAGTTGGAGCTAAAATCTGCAGGACAACGTAGGCATGGGTGATTTTTCCTCTGAACTCATATTTTATTTTGAGAAACTTTTAAAACATTTAAGAACAGTAAACATGTCAGGCTAATAATTCAAATAAATAATCGACTTTTGCTGTTTTCGTTATTTTCAAAAACACTAATTTCTTTGCAATTTTCTGCTGGAGATACTGCTGTCCTAAAAAAACGTAAATAAAAAATCTTACACATATCTTGGGAACAGTATAGCAGAAAATTTTGGCTGTTTTAAAACCTTAACCTTTGCAAACCGCGGTATTCCTTGAAAACAATTTTCGTCCCATGCCTACATTGGACCTCCAGGACCGAGTTTGAGAACCCCTGATTTACACTATAAAATTTAAAGGTTCTTTATTGACATTGATGGCTCTTAGAAAAAAATGAAAAAGTTCTAGTAGAACCAAAAATGTTTCTTTAATGGCATCATAGTGAAATCACCCTCTTTGGGGCGTTTATTTTTCATGAGAAGATGAGAAAACAATAGAAACAATTGCTGAATTTAACTGTTGCTTTTATAGTGTTTTCACTTTTGTTTCGGCACAGAAACTTCATGTATTGGGAGTTAAATTTATATAACTGAACATCATTAAATATATTTCTCTCAACCATTTTCTGAAATATTAATCATCAGTAGAGTAGAACCATGATATATACCGGCTGCTAGCTCTCTACAATTCTCCTATTAAGCAGGGCTGCACCCGGCCAGTACCTGGATGGGAGACCACATGGGAAAGCTAGGTTGTTGCCGAAAGTGATGTTAGTGAGGCCAGCAGAGGGCGTTCAACCTGGCGTCTGTGTTGGTCCTAACACCCCAATATAGTGAAGGGGACTCTTTACGGCTCAGTGAGCGCTCTCTCTCAGATCAGACTCAAAGATTCTGTGTAGTCGTTAAAAATCCTAGGATGTCCTTCGAAAAGAGGGGTTAACCTCGGCATCCTGGCCAAATTTGCTCACTGGTCTCTGTCCATTATGGCCTCCTAACCATCCCCATATCATAATTGCCTTCATCACTCCTCTCCACCAATCTTCTGTTGTGTGGTGTGCAGTTATGCGCAATATGGCTGCCATCGCGTCATCCAGGTGGATGCTGCAGACTGGTGGTGGATGAGGTGATTTTCCCCCAATATGTAAAGCGCTTTAAGTGTCCACAAAAGTGCTTTATAAATGTAAGGAATCATTAAAATTATTATTGTTTTTAAATTTGTAAATCATATTCAGATGTTTTACATTATCTCAAATACACAATATAATTGACACTGATTGCTTTTTGTTGTTGTCATTTCGAAAGCTTATGCCAAACTACTGTACAAACGCACATTTCAAACCTTTAATTAGCAGTGTGAATGAATTAAGCCTGTTAATTGGTTCCCCTGTTTGCAATTGGCAGCATTCCATTGCGACTAACACGCACACACACAGATTCATTTGGAGCTCAGCTCTGTTTTCTTTTGTCTGGATTAAGGTTGGAAAATCACATGCTCATGATTTTGACCACAACAGTCCAGACGACAAGTGTTTATATATATTTCTATTTGAGGAAAGGATGGCTCTCCCACATAGTCTGAGAGGAAATCTGTTTAGTAAGGTCATCCGCATTAACATTTCAGCAGTGTGGTCACCATCATGTCAACGCAAGGAAAATCTGATGTGCTGCTCCTGCTCGTTTCCTTCCTGAGTTTTTTTAGCGACTCACTTCCCTGTGTGATTAGAGAACTGGGTGAGCCATCTGAGCAGATGCTGTGTGGAGTGTTTGCATTGGCTCGTATTTGGTGACATTGCCAAACGGTCCACAGTGGCAGATTGCACACAGTCTCCACAAACAACAACCATCCCTTTCTATTTACACATGGCCTGGCTGAGCTTCAGTCATGACTATGCGTCTTTTCTGGCTTCCCCTGGATTTCTTCCAATGGTTTTGCGAGGCTGTGGGAAGATTAGTAGATTTTGGACTCTTTTAGGCGGGCTAATTATAATCAAGCAGCCGGTGAGCAATCAGCACCTGGGAACGGGAAATATGAGCACTTGCTTTCTGAGATAAACCTTCATTGATTGGGATTTAAGTAGAAAGTGGTTAAGAACTTTAAAGTTGTTGATATAATTGCCTGTAATCTGTTAAAGGGGACCTATTATGAAAAAATCACCTCTATAAAGGGTTTTAACACACTTGTGTGGCAACAGTCTGTAAAAATAACCAGCTCCCAATGGTAAAATGTATTCATTTAATTTTAATCACACTTCATTAAAACAGTATATAAAAACACTTTGATTTGACATTCTCCTGTGTCATCAGAGGGGGAAAACCCCGCCCACTAGTAGTGATGTAAAGATTCACCTGACTCACAATTTGATACAAGTCACGATACTAATCTTACGATTCACGATTTAGTCACGTTTTTTTTTAATAAGAATTATTTGAAATAAATTTAAGGTGATGAAAATGCTGCACATTGCAAAATAATAGGTTTTCTGTCATAACTAAATTGCTATTTTAAAAACAAATTCCTTATAAAAAAAAGAACAATATAAACTGGATCCCTTAATATATAAATATAAACTGTGACTGAGCAGGGATTTTACGTTTTTGAAAAGAAATATCAGCATAGCTTTGCACATTTATAATGTCCCCTGCTGAAGAGAAATCTCTTTCCCTGGGGACTGAGGTGGCTGGTGTGGAGAGGAAAGCCTTTCCTAAACCAAAGAACAGCGTGTACAGAAGTGGTCAATAGACCCTCTTCTCCAGGTGACTGGCCACTGGCATAAAAAAAACTGGTTATAAAATGACTAATTATATACTGTAGTAGGACAGGGGCAGCATGGTGGCGCAGTGGGTAACACGATCTCGTCACAGCAAGAAGGTTGCTGGTTCGAGTCTCCGCTGGGTCAGTTGGCATTTCTGTGTGGACTTTGCATGTTTTCCCCGTGTTCGTGTGGATTTCCTCTGGGTGCTCTGATTTCCCCCACAAGTCCAAAAACATGTGGTATGGGTGAATTGGGTAGGCTAATCGTCGCTGATGGCCACAGCGAGGGCTATGTGTCTACGCGTAGTGCAACGAAAGTACAAGTATGTGCAAAAGTACAACAACGCACAACACATAAATGAAGTGAATAAAGCAAGTTGTCAGATTGTTTAATATGATTATTGCCATTTTCACAGACCAGGGTGTTCGCGGGGTCTTAAAACGTATTAAAAGTTGATCAAACAGTGTAGAGAAATTTAAGGCCCTTAAAACGTATTAAAAGTCTTAAATGCTATTTTGCAAGGTATTAAATTTTATATAATTTTTGATTATGCAATGCTTGGTTGTTTGCTAAAGTTTGCCTGAATTCTGTGAATATCAGGAT